GAAAAAGTAGTCAACTTACATTTTATCATTTTAACGTACTTAACTTAACAGTCATATCCACAGAGGTTTATCAATGTGTGCTTATCGTGATAGTTTTGTTTTGATGGCTCTCTTTTATCATTTGCATTGTACGTGGTAGTACTATTCCTGAAACTATGAGACAGCCAATGTGGTTTATTGCGCCTGACCCTAAGCATCGATCCATGTTTTACTGTTTATATGTATATAGATGTGACGATACGTCGGTCGCTGGGTCACTTGCCTAAATGTGACACGAGCGAATGAAACAGAGTATCTGGAACTAAACCCTACATTAGTATTGTCTTATAAAATATCTGCTGCAGATCAATCTTCCTGCCATAGGACGTTCATATTTCTACCTCACTACCACAGACGTCCTCCAGCATGACTATAATGTCTCCCGAACAGGACCATTGACGTCATACTACAGGAATAGCATCTCTCTACCACAGGACTACTGAATTCCTACCACGGGACTATTAACTTCCAACCAGGAATATCGACTACCGACCACAGGGCTACCGACTTCCTACCACAGGACTATCCGCTATCGTCCACGGGATTATCGACTACCGACCATAGGACTGTCGACTACCGACCACCGGACTGTTGACTACCTACCACAGGACTGTCGACTACCTACCACAGGACTATCAGCTACCGTCCACAGGACTGTCGACTACCGACCACAGGAATATTGACTACCTACCTCAGGACTATCGGCTACCGTCCACGGGAATATTGACTACCTACCACAGGACTATCAGCTACAACCGTCCACATGACTATCGACTACCGACCACAGGACTGTCGACTACCGACCACAGGAACCTTGACTACCTACCACAGGACTGTCAACTACCTACCACAGGACTGTCGACTACCGACAACAGGACTGTCGACTACCTACCACAGTACTGTCGACTACCGACCACAGGACTATCGACTACCGACCACAGGACTACCGACCACAAGAATAGTGACTACCTACCACAGGACTATCCACTACCGCCAACAGGACTGGCGACTACCGACCATAGGACTATAGACTACCGACCGCAAGACCATAGCCTTCTGACTGCAGGGTCACATATGTCACGACGCCTCCGGGGGAGCCTTAGTCGTAAATCGGTTGGTCATAAGGTGATCTGACTTACTACATGTCATCGTAACCCGATGGGCTGAATCGTGCTAAAGCTATCAACCATTTGCTTTCTTACAGACATAAGTGATGGAGCTGTAATATTGCTTAGTTCGGGTGGTAAAACCTATCATAGGAACACGGTCCCGACACCTGACAACTACATCACTTTGTGTGGGACTTCAACATTCATATAACGACTACACTCAGTGCTGCATGACCACAAGATCACTTCTATAGGACTATCTCGTTCTTACCATTTGCCTACCACAAGCGCTATAGAACTACTACATTCTTCTAATGGGACAGTCAGTTCATACTAGACTTCTCAGTATCCCTTCTAGAAGACTAGCACATTTGTATCACAGAAACCCTTCACGTATCATGACAACTACGTTTCTTCCATAAAACTACCATCTCCCTTTCATGACTACCATAGAACACAGAACAGCTGCATTCTTCCAATAGCATTGCCACCTTCCAACCACAGGCTACGCTTAGATCTACAAAACTGCTACATTCCTGATGTAGCACGACCACCTTTCTATCACATGACCACAGTCGGGATTCCATGACAACACCTCATGGCAATAACAACAATATGTTTTGCTCAACATTTGTCCGAACAACTTCGATTTATTTATTTTCCTACATTTGGCAAACCGGTCGGTTTCTGTTATATAGCGTCATCCATTGTATAATGGTGTCACGTTATTCCAGCGTGACGACATGTGTCTCACCATTGTGCGAGTGATATGGAAATTTACTGATAACCTTAGTATTTTACAATGTCGATAAACACTGCATCAGATTTGCAGGTGTTATTGATTATTTAAGGTTCGGAATTTTCTGTTTGCGAAACAAATATCGAAGAATTCCAATGTTAATTTGTTGTAAATCTCCTAACTGAAAACTACGGATATAACGAACTCAAAAGGGACCACTAATTTTAGTTCGTTATAACCGTAGTTCGTTATAAGCATATATACAGCATAACTACAGCAAATAGTCGGGACAAAAAAGTAAGTTCGCTATATCCGTCAGTTCGTTATAAGCGTGTTCGTTATAAACGTAGTTTACTGTATGTTCTCATTAGTCATTGTGAGGACCGAGAGCTTTCAAGACAAACGAAGTCCGCACGAACAAGCAGCTACCGATGCATTGTCAGCGCAGAAACATAGTTATGGTCATGATGTTTTGAACACGTGGTCTTGTATTGCTTGTATTGCTTGTATTGCTTGTATTGCAATATCTGAACAACATCTGGAAACTGAAACTAACGTTTTGCAGAGAGTGAGTGAGTGAGTATGGTTTTACGCCGCTTTTAGCAATATTCCAGCAATATCACGGCGGGGGACACCAGAAATGGGCTTCACACATTGTACCCATGTCGGGAATTGAACCCGGGTCTTCGGCGTGACGAGCGAACGCTTTAACCACTAGGCTACCCGACCGCCCCTTTTGCAGAGAGTAACTCGTTTGTTTTAGAGCATCGGTATGGTTGATGTATGGGGTAAAATCAGCGATCAGTTTATACATTTCGTTCATGATAACGAACGTGAACATATTGATGTTGGCACATTGGAGTTAGCATGTGATATAGTTTCATCGTGCATTTTAATATACCAAGCATGTGTATTTTGTAAGCACGATTTATCCAGCACGAAAGTATGTTTCTTCAAGTTCGACAGAATATTCTTTTGAAATAATGGCTAGGGAACTATTTCGAGTACAATAATGTTAAGAAAACTGCGACAGTTGCAAAGAGTGCTTACATCCCAACTCATTCCAGGGTGTGCTGGGGATATGACCGTCACAAGGACTTAGTGTCTGTGACGCGAGACAGCAAATCTTGGCAGGTGATAAACTATGAAACATATCTATGTCATTATGATGCAATATGGTGTCGATGATATGAAAAGAGTTATTTCCAGAAAGGACAGAATTCCATTATGTATTTTTGGCGCTTTTATCACAATTTTAGGGTTTACCTACATTGATTTGCAGATAAATATACCTGTTTGCCTACTATGTACATGTGGAGTTGAATCATTGGGATTCCGTACATGCACGTGCTCCATATGTAGATGAGTGAGTGAGTGAGTATGGTTTTACGCCTTTTTAAAGCAATATTCTAGCAATATCACGGCGGGGGACACCAGAAACCGGCTTCACACATTGTACCCATGTCGGGAATCGAACCCGGGTCTTCGGCGTGACGAGCAAACGCTTAAACCACGAGGCTACCCGACCGCCCCCTATACGTAGATGACTCATACATAAAAACAACCTTTAAACTTTCCCCTTATATGTATGAAACATCTGACTTTCATCATCGTTAAACTTGAAACACAAAAAGTGAATTTATAGGACTAAACGAGACAAATTCTATTGGACGTAAAAGGCAAAATAGCGGTGAAAATTACATGAACGAATCTTGGTAATCTTGTTTCGCTTAAAACGCTAATAGTAAATAATTTGAGCACAGAATCCAATGTGCTCGTTTGCTTGACAGAACCTTCAGGTTACCAAAATGTGCCTTTACTAACAAGATCATTTTAATTTTAGGTAAACTGTTTCTCAAAAGCACCACAATAAACACTTGAAACCAGAGCAGTTTCAAAACCTAATGCATTTTTTAAACGTCCATGTTTTGAAGCGTTTGGGTTCTCCAAAAAAGCACAAAAAATACCAACGAACGTTAAAACCTATATATTCATGTACATCTGTTTCCATCAGCTACTATTCATTGAACAAGAAAGCTTGGTTACAGCTTGTTTGTGGCCCACCGGCAGATTTACAATGCAGCGTGTGGACGTTCATGGAGGTTCATATTAATGTGACATTGGGTATATTATGGCGCTGTTGTTAATAGTTAACACATACGTGTTATTCTGGTAATACAGTAAAGTACGGTTATAACGAACTCAAAGGGACTACTAATTTTAGTTCGTTATAACCGCAGTTCGTTATAAGCATATACACAGCATAACTACAGCAAGTAGTCGGGACCAAAAAGTAAGTTCGTTATATCCGTCAGTTCGTTATAAGCGTGCTCGTTATAACCGTAGTTTACTGTACTCAAATGGTCATTTTTAGGTAAGGTTTTATATGCAACACGTACATTATGATAAGCAGTGCAAAAGAAAACTGCTGTTACCCTTCACTGTATTGGATTCAGCCAGTACTTTAAACGACGCCAGCCTGTGACTAAATATAGACTGAAGCCAGAAAATACCAAAGCAATGGTACAATGGGCATTTATAGACAGCAACGCAATGAAACATCTCTATACTGAAGGTCGAATGTTTACGTTTATGTATATAGATTAAACCGCTGCACAACTGATCTTTAGGAACATACAAAATGTACATTTACTGACAGGATCAATAAATCGTACACAAAGACCCTGAATCTTTCTATAGATAGCGAAGTAAACCTTTATATGCAAAATCAAACTGCTGTTACATTTATTAACATCATACGAGGACTATATATACTGCATGTTCCCACGTGAAATGTCATTGTTTGCCAAAGTGTACAGTCAGAGTTTAATGGCGCCGACATAGTCGTTTCTTCAGATCATGGAATGTTTAACCTGAATACATACAGAGCTACTTTGTTATGTACAGGTAATGTTTTATCTTGTCCTTGACTGTATGAGAGAACAAACACAGATTTTTCACCTTATGAAGGAGTAAGTATATACTCCGACACGATGTGTTCCTCATAATAAAGAAGTTGACATCCATAAATTCTCTTCCTCATGTGTGTCAGTTCTAAATGCTATGCAAGGACTTGATACACGCTGTGTATTCATATACAAAATAAATCCATATTTACACATTAAATCATTTTATTCAAGAAAAAAATGATCGCAGCAGCTGTTAAACAGCCACACGTAAGTCATGGTATTATTACTGGGTAGGGTACATGCTTCGTACAGGCAATGTTAAAAATATAGAAAAGACAGGGGAGACAATTACACCGAGTTTCTTTGCTACACAGGGGGTCGAGTGAGACTATACTAGTCGATAAAACATCAGACCTAGAGCATACATCGGCCTAAGATCGATACCTGACATCTTTGATTTTTGTCGATATCTTATAATAAATTTGTGTTGTTCCGTGTGATTCTAAATCACAGTGCCCCATAAATATGACAGAACAAAGATACACACTGTATAACTTTCGTGATTTTTCGCAGTTATATCGACGTCAATATAGTCTACAGAGGAAGAAATAGGGCACACTGTTTTATATAAGTATATGACAACAAGTTATATATTTGTTTCTTCTCCATTACCAGTTTCTAAACTTTGGCCGATGTATGTATAGTTTCTTTTCATTTAAATTTAAAATAACTTAGTGCTGAAGTGAGAAATATTCATGAAATTAAAGGATGTGTTGATTATATGAAATATCCTATCCGGCCTGGTAAACTATCGTGACTAACGATAATACTACGTGGTATATCAAACAAATATTTGTTACATAACAATAATTAAAAGTCTACTTCATTGCACGTATAAAATGTCCGCTGAACATACATATCATACATTAAAATTAGCTATATTTATCCATTAGTTTATCATTTTGATTGTAACTGTGTATTTATCGTACACAATCCATCTATATGCTTGAGAAATAAATAAATCTACCTTAGTGTTCTTGTCAATGCAGCGAAAATATGTTTTGAAGTGACCGTTGATAGGATGAATGAGTATTTTTAAAAGATTCCTCGAAAAGGTCACATAGGTAAATGACTAATTTGAAGAACATCCTCAGTATTGCACATAAAGAATGTCAATCGCAGTTTTTGGATCTCAAATACTGTAGCACTTGATACTGATAATTGTCTCTGCAAATAAGGACTTATGAATCGTCTGAGTTGTAATGTGAACGTGATTAGAAGTTAACCTTCTCTAACCTGGGACTACTGACAGCATGAGAGACATATAGGTGAATACATTCCTTCATTGTTAGTTCTGAGTACATAACCATTGTCGATAATATTTTACATGGATTCGTTTCGTTTCGTTACTAAATCAGTTTTTATATTTCTTTAGATACAAAACAATTATTATTTGAAGGTGCAAGATATTGGCAAACTTTGGTTAGACCGATAGTTTACATAATTTGACTTCTTTCTTTACCATATAACAGATGAAAGCTTGAAACAATAAAAATTTACATTATGACATAACGGCGTGATATAAATATGGATACATTTGAACTAATTTGGAATTGACATCGTGAGAGATTGGGTAATACATAACCATGCGCTGAGCGCCACTGAGATTTCTGCCCATTGTAGGCCATGCTGGGTGAGTGAGGTATAAACAGGGGGGTTGGATCATTCTATATGCTACGGGGCCACTGTTTTGAGAACACGCTCGTAAGTCCACACAAATCTCACACAAACTCTTCGTGTGCGTACACACTCAGTCTGTAACACAATACAACACTAGTTGGAAGTATGACGTCACCAATGACGTAATGACGATGTCACATGACTTCTGTTCTGAGCAATGTCCTGCCCATCTCGATGAGTCTATACATTTCCACTGTCTCTATGGATAGGTAATGCAGTGGACACGCGGATACACGATACACTACGGTAATCTCATTCGTAAACGTGAGATTCTACAGTCATTTTGATCAATGTCAAAAGCCCTGAGACCTTTTTTTCTTACACATAAGAAATATTTTGCTTTAGCGACCACTGACGATATAAGCGTTAGCACTTTCACAACGAAACTGGCCGTGCCAATGTGGAAATGTCTGTGTGTCGTAAAACATCATCACACACTCACAGTCAATACGGAGTCATAAATAAAACTACCGACACCTCAATGGTTCGTTCCTTGGTCATCCTTCGAACCGGACTGGTCGCCGGCATTGTAACATACATTATGCAGATAAATGTTATATATTGTCATAAGCATGGCTTTCATATGACAGTCTTTGAGCATCGTGCGCATGTGCAGTACTGGCAGTAGCCGAGGCTGTATTATTATGCTATGAATCCATTTCTTGCAGAATGGTAATGCTATGGCGGAAGGTGATGGGGAAATGCCTCACGAGTTGGGTGCCTTCCGATCAAGTTTGGTTTAGCTGCTCCACGTTGATCATCCGTAAGAATACGACCTCGACCTTGGGTCAAAGCATTTTAATCCGATATTATGCTGTATTCAGTCTGCTAGCCACGTAACAGACGAACTCATATGATTCTTGCAATAGTGGAAGAGCACGTGACTGCTTCACGTGACATCACATCAAGTTATTTTGAAACATTTTGAGGTCAAGCTGGTCATTGGATCCTTGGCCAGTATTGTGACGTCATTGAGGACATGTGATGCGCGCCCATGTCTTGATGATTTCCTCCCGGAACCTGGATAGGAACTGAAACCCCAGGCGAGATGAGACCTGCAAATCAATAGCACAGCCATTAGTGGTTTGATGGGAAATCCTTCAAAATAACCTGCCATATTCTTATAAACTATTTCTATTTTGTAGGTTGTATTTGAATTTCTAGATATATTTAGCTCAATTTGGCAAAACAATGTTACCTTGTAATGTGAGTTTGTAATTTGAGAACAATAAAACCTCAAGGATATTCAATAGAAAGAAGATGCCAGCGAACGTATATGGATAAAGAAAGCTCACAAAGTAATACAATCATATATGTATTGCCATATCAGAAACAGAAAAATGAGATGTATCAATGATGGTTGATCGGCTATCAACTCGTATTGCCATAACAGAAAACGAAAATGACATCGAAATGTATGAATTATGGTTGAACGTCCTTCAGTGCCAAGTGTCTGAATTGGTTGACTAAGAAGAAGCTTCTTTATTAATAAGGAGACGCTGGTACCTGTGGACGCTCCATTGTGGGCGCTGTGGTTCATGTGAGACTGCATGGATGATCCTGGGTTACATGCCTGGCGGGAATAGTTGGTTAACGCAAGGGGGTCGTAACTTCGGGGGGTGTAATCTAAACATGAAAAAACGGAAAACGTTAAAACCATGCTCCTTCAGACAAAAACGACTGCAATTATTGTCAAATCGTTATTGTTAAAGTTTAGACACTTTGTTAGTTGTTGATGTGATATTCTGTATGGGTGCTACCTTGATGTTTCAGTTATTAACTTCAATCCCATTAGGTATATAATATTAAATCTTTATATTTAAAAATATATCATTTATTTAACAAAAGATCACGAAACAATAATGATCAATATTTATATATATTTATATATGTTCTTTCAGAATAATTTTCTAATTATGGAATGAGTTAGATTTTAAGAGGCAACATTCGATTTATATATTTATAGACAGATACTAGTTAAAAACTGTCTGTATTGCCTTTTATAAGTTTTCGTTTCAAAATAGTGAATATATACAGGGTTAAACACTTCAAGAGAGCACAAAATAATAAAAATCCCTTCTAAATATATAATAACTATACATAACACTGTAAAGGTACAATCGATGCTTTTTGATTCTCGTCGTGGAGTTCAAATCAATTGTCACAGGTATATGAAAACTAATGTATTGATCGACAAACGTATGTCACTGTATGGGTCGCGGAGTACGTTTACAAGCAGCTAACACACATTATATCAGATTTATAGTACAATAACGGTATTGTGTTGGATACAATAAAATCATAACATACCTTAATGATAAATACAAAGCGCTTACAAAAAACAGTTTAAATACGCTAAGTTTAATGTAGGAATATACACGTAATGTGAGAACATGAAATTCATACAGATATTGTAATGAAAAGGTTGTTGTTTTGGGTATTTGGTTCTCTGTGACAAGAAGAGAAATATAGTCCAAACAACATGACACGACAAATCTATATATGGTATATGATATGTACTAGTCTGTATAACAATACAACAGTATAGCACGGCAGCTGGTCAGATTTAGCTCACCTGGTATCATGCATGAATAGGAGGAAGAGCTGGATGACTGGAGACAGGCTGGGTTCGTCGGAAGGTTGTTCGACAGGGAATAACTCGGCACAGAGGGGATAGAACTGCAATAATAATAATAATAATAATAATAATAATAATAATAATAATAATAATAATAATAATGATGATGAACTGCAATAATAATAATAATAATGAACTGCAATAATAATAATAATAATAATCATGATGATGATGATGATGATGATGATGATGATGATGATAACAACAACAACAATAACAATGACAAACAAATACCCCAACAAAACATCGACAATGGTGATAATCATTATGACTCACAGATAATCATTATCGGCTACTTATAACCGAAACTGGATGTTGTTGACTTGATTGGTGATGTTCATTTAAAATGTCAATAGCATGATAATGATTTAAATCGTTTTTCACTTCATGATGACAAACAAGCATTAGAGTATTTTGGATTACTCAATGATCAAAAACAGTATCATGAAAGACAATAATGATTAGGAGTGTGTACTTTTCAACCTGTTTCTATTGTTTTGACATAAAATAACCAACCCGAGCGATAAACGGGAATTGCAATGTGTTTTTGCAGGGATCTTTCAAGTGTTGATTTAAGTCACAATATCTGTGCAGTATCATGTGTTGCTTTAACACATGTATGAGCTGAAGCAAAACGCAAAGAAATGTAACCAATCATTTCGAAATTAGAGGCTGTCTCACGAGTTTATTTTCAAGTTATGTTGCTTTTACGTGCATATTAATGGCGCACTATATGCATATGAAAGAGATCCACGGAATTTATTTTTCAATTATCCCTTGTATAAACAGATTTTCCAATGGAGACCAGACATTTCCCATTTGCATTAATGAATTTCCCCCTTAAGAGCCAAAGACTAAAGTCTGCATGAAACAACCGTGACATCCTCCTCTATGGTCAATCAACACAGCGTGTGTCCATCACACAAACGTCCAAGCGATATCAATCACTAAGGACATTAACAAAAACACTCCACTCATACAATCTCTCCGGTGATGATGCCATTAACATGTGATCGGCCCTTTCGCTAAAAAGCTCAGCTTTTTTTCTGTTTATGTCCCTATTGATTCGGAGGTGGCGCGGCCAGGGAGCAAACGAGTCGAAGCCTGCAGAGTTATGGAAGTCCAGCTGAGACAAAATGCGACATTGTCTGTGAAGGATACCATTACTTAAAGACAATGCACGACCTAGTGGACAGCCTTGCAGTACTCCAGTGTTGGCCTAGGTCTCAAGGGGCCACTTCAGAGGCTCTTGTTGGTGCTACAACCAACGGGAAGTCTTCACCAACCATACTACAACTCATGATCTTGGGCTAAACAAGCTACTCCAAGGCCCCTGCATAATGTGGATATCATTTCAGGATGAAACATTTATTTCACTGATGAATTAATCACCAGTGCCTGTTGCGACACCGAGTTCCATTATCAACATGTGTATCTGGTTTGGCAATTACAATGAACATACGTCATTTGTATAATTTACGCTTAGATACGATGAATTGCTTTCTAAACGAAAAACGTCCCATAGTAGCTCCTACATGAATAATGTACCTCTTGACAGCGTAGTGTATTCATTGTCATGGTTAGAATTTATCAATGGAATAGTTCCAAAGTGTGCTCCCTTAGTAAATATGTCAAACATTTACAATTTATCACGCGCATGCGTGCAGAAATGCTCTGGCTATCTGACCTGTGACTGACTCTCTGAAACAATAATCCACTATAGAAATAGATTCCCGTTTTGTTTTCATGTATATGTTTCTATACCAATAGAGTGTCAATTACAAACTACTATTGATAACCGTGATATATACACCAGTGTCGGGGACAATATGTACCGGGTAATATACACGTTTGTGAATTATGTCACGTGATATGACAACGGGATGACACTTCCCACACCTAGTATAATCCCCTTAGCTCACTCCTAACCCCAATTGTATTTCTTCCACAACTTTGGCTCACATCTTGTTAGATTGGTTAATGACAGTACATATCATTTTGTCATCGATACTTGTCGATAACATCAGCGATATCTGTGATTGGCGGACACTGATACGGATACATGCGCAGTTATTATTTCGTGGCCAGTAACTTTATAGATGTGTGTATGTACGTAGGTTATATCCCATGATGTAACTGTAGGAGTTTAAAAATGGCCAAAAAACGGAGTTTCCGTCATCAGGTAATCTGAATAGCACTGATGTGTTATGTGAGCAATATCAATGGCTCATATAATTATCCATTCATATAAGACCACTTGGATGATTCTAAATGACACGAAACAGAAATAGTTATAAACAGGCTTGGACGCGTCCCAATGACACACGTAGACTTAGTAAATAACAGTGAAACCCTATTGAAGATTAAAACCACTGTTTACAGTTTTCAGAAGTCACTTAAAATATATGGAACTGAGTGAGTATGATTTTTACGCCGCTTTTAGCGACATTCAAGCAATATCAAGACAAGGGACACCAGAGATGGGCTTCACACGTTGAACCAATCTGGGGAATCGAACCCGGGTCATCGGCGTGACGAGCGAACGCTTTAACCACTAGGCTACCTAACCGCACTAAAGTATGTGTAAATATGCTTCTAATAAGTAACACTTTGACACTATCATTAATTTTAACTACGGTCTTTAGTTACGTATTATACCATCACAATCTAGTTCATCAATCAATCATCAATCGGTGCAAACATTTTCCCAAACACCTGCCGAGTGGCTCTCTGAAAACACGAAGAAATCAAACCCGCATATTTAAATACAACTCAGACCGTATCGAGATAAATTACAGTCAATTGGAATGCACTCCGTATGTTTACAGATTCAAAATATCGACCAAAACATGCGCATATCCATTGAGAATGCTATAAATCATTTGTAACATGCATTCATTGTGCCAACAAAGATCAATACAGTCACAATAGATTATTTAACGCTGCACCATTGACATTGCATTCGCAGCGATTATGGTCATGTGTCGCATATATCACCGATGTATTGAAATACACAAATGTACATCGCCGAAGGGGATCAGTTGATGTAATGTACAAGCTTGTCAATTGCACTTGGTGAACCTGTCGCTAATTATGAGCCAATGCCGTTCGATTTTAATTAAGGAGTGGGTAGAATTTTAAGGGAATGGCCACCAGTCAAAGGAAATGTATTACCGATGACAAAAAGTCAGGCGGGATGAAAGGCAACATTAGTCTGACGTTGAAATTGAACTGTGTTTGATGTTTATAAGGCGATTTAAATAGATGTGGTGTTTTATGACACTTTGGAGGTATTGCAATCATAAAAAGAAATGCACTGATTGCAAAGTAAGGGTTAAGCAGAATTAAAAGCGCTTCCAATTTTCTACACTGGGAACCACATACCAGACATTGTTATTTGCTAAAAAAAATCAAGCGTCATAAAAAAGACGATTTTTTAAAGATTTTCAGACTATCTAACAGCTGTGAGACAGCGGTAGTTGCAGTGATAGCTGTCGGGGACGCCGGCGACAAGTCAGATCTGACGGAAACCATGTCGATGAAGGGATCAATCAATCGGACTGTGTCTTTAAACCATTAGCAGAGAAAGCCTTACCTATAATTATCTGTCATCGAGGCGATGGGTTGGTGTATAGATGGATACATGCTGTTGGTGAAACTACTGTTGATGGGGAGGCGTGTGGCGCCGTTGGCGACTTCGCGACGTTGGTTACGGAGTTTCTCCTCGCGACGCCATTTCGCCCGACGATTTGAGAACCACACCTGATTAAAAAACACATGTTCTTGTTAGAGAATGTTTCAGGCTGCAAACTAATATTTGAAAATACCGATTGTACAATGAGAATCCCAATGTTAAATCTTCTGCGGTATAGATACTGATATAGATATTAATATTTATCAATTACCATATGTGTTATATTTTCAGGAGAGTTGGAAATATGAATGATATGCTAAAATATGTAGTACAAAGACCAGCCTTTGGATCTTATTTTATTTACCCCATAAACGGAATTTGTGAACTTGCCTTTTGTCTTTGATTTGTATCTTAAGTGTGCAAGCACATTATACAAGCATAAGTTTCAAAATATAACATTACACACGTACCTGTATGCGTGCTTCCGGGAGATCGATTTTCTGTGCTAAACGCTCCCGTGCAAACACATCAGGATAATGCGTTCTTTCAAATTCTGAAACATAAACAGATTTCATAAAATAAAGGTATAGTCATAAAGATTTATCAAATGGGTTTACTGCCTTTGACATTTTATATACTAGTTATAAGAAATCCCGACGAGAAAATAGTATGGTTTGCGCAATCAAAACCCACGGAAGCGGCATTGATAAACGTTTGCGGGCATGCTACGAAAAGAACAATTCATATCAAACACTACAATGCCAGAGAGAGAAATATGACAATTTGTGAAAATAAAATCAAAGACAGAAAAAATCGAAAACTGTCAAGTTGAATTTGAGCATTTACGTTGTTACTCCAGCAGCAATCGAATCTAAATAATTGTGCTCCGGCAAATTCGATTTGGCCGATATAAGATGAATTTTGAGCGAATATCAGAAATACGGGATGACCCTAAGATTTGACATACAGACGTGTTCAAGCGATTAGAGAGATCAAAGCGAATTACAAGTTGGAAATCGATGAGATTTGTACTCAGATTAATTACAGTCAGGCAAAATGAGCAATTACGTAAGCAGGAATGTACTGCAGTTGCAAGGATCATTGATTGTACATCGCCCGTATTGGTGAAATATTGGCTTCCATCGACTTTCAAACTGCTAAGATCTAACGAAGTAAAACGTGCTTAGTGATACTGAAATTATCGAACTGGGATAGAAATTGCACGTTAAAGGTTATGGTTGGCGGGAAGTTATGTACAATAATAGAAGGTATATGACGCGAGACTTTACACATCTATTGTATAACCCTTGAAATGAGAAATATGTGAGTGTCATTTTTGAGTTTTGAAAGAATCGAAATGACATAGTTAGAACCCATACGTATTTGTATGATATATGAATGCCAAAAGTACAATGTATATATTCCTGTTATGCGTATTCAATCAAAATGAATTAAAAAGCCTACAGTTTTTGTTTTATTAAAAAACGTTATGTTTGTAATATGATATTGTGCATTAAACTTTGAATTTTTGAATTTAAGAAATGCATGAGTATTTCACTTTTAAACAAGTATCCCGTATTTCATATTTAGCCCGTGTATTATCCCCATTGTCACATGTGTCCTCCTTTAGCAATATTACCTTTCTCAAGCGATTCAATCTGGGCAGCAGTAAATGAAGTTCTATTTCGCTGTAGCTTTCTCTTCAATCTCATGCGCATCTGTTCATCATTTTCGCCGGTCTGACCATCACTGGGACTACCCGTGGAACCTGCGCTGCTGTCGTCTGAAAAAAAGGTTTCACGTGACAACAGTATCTTCAATTGATCCTTGCTGAGAAAAATGATAGGGGGAGTCCATCCCTCAACGCGCCACAATACACGGTAATTCTTACTTTTCCCTCTAACTCCACATTGCAAGTGCGATACAATACCCTAAGCTTTAGCACTGGTTTGCTCTCCTGGACTCAAATGGTAGAAGTTCTGGCGGAAACCGTTCAACATATCGCATTACAACGTTAGGGACGCGGTTCGATTTTTCCAAAGAAAAGGGGTGCATTTTGACCTTTTGTGTCGTAAATCTGCCTCACGATCATGGCCGCGGCTCTACGAAGCGCTATATTTCATAGCAGGGAAATCACGGGAGCTCAGATACTTCACAGAGGCGGGTATTAATCTTCAGTTTTGCAATGGCATGCACAAAATAATTGATGCCACTGGATGGCTTTCAAGGTCACTCTGCATCAAAGGTCAAGACGTGTAATCATTGACGTAACGTCTACAAACGGCGTAATTTCCACAGCTAATGATTAGTTACTTCTGCGCATGAGCGCTCCCTTCCTGTTTCACGTGGCTCGTGCTGACCCTTCTACAGGTCATGGAAGTGCATCTGTAAGTGAGATGACGACGAATGAGCGACACCGCTAAGACAATAACACACCGGACGCAAGCGACAGTCGTAGCGCGTTCTGCCAACATAATTTTCTCTAATGCATGCCAGCACGTGCAAGAACTACGTCATCAAAGACCTTTACCACGTGACCTCCTTGCAGGTCGCAGCTAAGAGTGCCGTCTTTATATTTGTATATGATCAGCGAAGTGTTCTGTTCTGACACACTATGGTCATGTCAAAGAATTATTAAAATAATAACGTCTTTCATTATGTAGCATTAGCCTTTCAAACTAACAGGCCTTAGCCCCGTCTCCTCAAGGCTTTGATCATGCGCAGTCGGCAGTAATCTTGTAGCTGTACACGGTGCACGAGCTACACGACCAAACACAATCACGCGCTAAAAGGGAATGTCGAATCAATTAGCTTTGTCAAAGTTTTCTGACATTGTTGCCGCAAAGGACAGGCTGAGAGGAGGGAAGTGCTATTACCATGATCTAAAGTCGACTTTTCTCAGTGATATTACTGCAGTCTTTGTCATAATCAAATCTACTTTCAGACTCTATAGACTTGTCATAATCTGTGAGCGCCTCGGATTCGTCACACTCGCAGTACCAAGTCACAAGTAATACATCTCTCTCTCTGTTTGTATAATACTCGCCGGCACAATCTGTAGGCTTCGTTGTGTTTACAATGAAATGATTGACTTGGATCAATGCGCATTTCAATGAGTTTTCTGAGGAAAGTTGACTCTAATTTGTATTAAGTGGACGGGACATTGCTAGTTCTCGTGGCCAATTTCAATCATGACAGAAAAGGACGAAAAATCTAAATAAAGAGGATTAAGCCACATGATTGGCAGCATTCGTGTCCATATCATTTGTGAAATCTACAAATCATTTTGCTCGGCATCGCGCAATTATCAATCATTGTTTTAGTAAATAACGGTTTTGCGGTTTCCTACCAGCGCCCCGCAGAGAAATACACAAGAATTATCACCAGATCTGTCTCTTTACTGAACATCAAGGGACCCAGAGGACGGAGTGACGGAAACATCATAAAATCAAATGAATGTATTGCATATGAATAGTTCATGTATTTTGGAAACTAAGTATCCTTCTTTGCTCCTTAATGTAGTACTGGATGACTTACATTAGTACAAAATATACATGCAGTCGTTTCAAGAAAGAAATAAATGAAATAAAATCTTTTCAACTGTTGATGAATATATTTTTCACTATTCGTGTCCACATTACAAATGATTAGTGTAATAGTGTTTCTATAAATCCTTCAAAGCGGTGTTTTTCGATGGGGCAAGTATTGATTTTGAGACAGAAGTTATTTGGCTAGAAAATAAAACAAATTAACGTATTCCATCTCTCGCTTTTATATCTTTACCCTTCCGTATATAAACATACTTAATCTTACAATGAATTATCAATCAAGCAAACAGCGTCCTTGCTAAAGGAATTGTGGATATCGATAGCTAGCCTGATCGAAAATGGAACAAATCATGTATTTTTGATAATGATTGATGCACTCCAAGTATATTCCCCCACACCTGTGTGGCTGAAGGTGTTGCGAGCTGGACGCAGGGGACTTAAGGTGTAGAACCCGTACTGGCCTCAACCACCGCCACTACTAACACTATTTACAGCCAGCGTTTGACGTGATGGAACACTAAAACTACTTAAGGTCATTTTCCGAGACTCCTTAATTGAAAAGAAAGAAATTGAAACTGCTAGCTTTCTGTCAGGGTCCGAAAGGCTGTTTTCACGTTTTCATGGCTCATTTGGTCTGCGCTGCAGCTCTTGCTAGACCATTAGTCTAGGTGACACAACATATCTCATGTAGCGCGTTGGCCGAGTAGTGATATAAACGGCTCTCTTCCCGTCTCCCCGATTTAAGCAAGCCTGCGCCTGGTCTTTAGAAGGCATCTCATAGGATCGCATACTCTCAACCCCGACTCAAAGATTCCGGATACTAGCTAGCGTTGAGTCGCAACACTGTAGCGTATTAGACGTGCAACCAGCGCATGTATTTCTTGATAAATAGCTGGTATTGTGGCCTTCCGCGACTTGCTGCATTCACACAGAACGATTAAGTGCTCAAAAGTACTAAACATATTTATACGCGCCAACAAAAGAAGTCCCCCTATCGAGGGAAAGCAAAGAGATGAATTGAATGGCGGAGGCCTTCTCAGTCCAAGGGATTTAATCGTTTCTATTCTCCTCTTATTTACCTGCGCAGGGATTAAGAGGAACGTGTGAATAGCGCGCCAGACATGTCGACGACATTGAACAATGGCCAGAGGGTTTCATCCCTAGTAAAAGTCATTGGTTTCAATAACAAAAATACGCGATTGTTGCGTCGATGAATGCATCGATGTCGGACCCTTAGCAGTAATCGTTATGGACTCGCTATCGGAGACTGGTCATTTATCAATACGTGTTGTTACATGCTTTTGATTAATTTCTACAATTTTTAACAGCAAATTCCTCCAAGCTACGCCTTCTGCAAAAACACGTGGTGAGGGGTACTGTCTGACATGCGCAGATGGCGACTTCCGGCCCTATGGCTGGCCCCCGGCTAAGCGGATATAGGCCATGATTGGACTGAGTTGCGTTCCCAAAAGGTCGATTAACTCTTAATATAACTCAATTAAAGTTACATAAGTACATAAATGAGGGGAATAAAGTGATAGAAAGGGGAGACAATAACTCCGGACTGCGCCTGTGGCTATTATTGAAATGTTGTAATCTGTGATAGCTCGTAGTGGCTATTACGCAAAGAAGTACGGGGGTAGGTGTAACAGTTCTTTCAATTGTGCTGGGGACAAGGATTTGTGAGAAGACCCCACGGGAGGCTGTGAGGGGGATTACAACCAATTGGGGAGGTTTTTATGTTGCTAGGCGTAAATGTTGCGTGAAACTGACCAGACTGTCAAGAGCGGTCATCGCCTGCTACTGGACATTGATTCACGTATTGATGGGTTAATCTGAATGTAATACACCCTTTACCCCCCGCATCTGTTTCTTACCCATGTTATGTATCCCCTATCCTCAGTCCCTCGTGACATTGAACCCCGCCCCCACCCCCACCCCCACAGATAATACCACACACGTTAAGACAAGTTTAGATAAGTCTAAAGACCCCATCAGTAGTAAAAGTGGCACGTTGATTGTCACTGATGTCTGAATAAAAAAGCCATTGTTTGGCACCACATTGTTCTGACATATGTACGTTACTACATTAATGCAGTGCTATACCAGAAGCGAGACTGGCATAATAAAATTTACACTTGTGGAGAGTTGTATTTATCGCCCCCAATGGAGCGATACATGCCTTCCATTAATTTCAAACAATTTTTTCAGACAAACATAAAATAAATTACATGTTATACAAAGAGTTGTCCTCTATGATCAACACCAACGGTGTGGCAGTGATGATAGATGGGTGTTCGGTGCCGAATACATTGCATTATGTTTGATACATTTAGGATGAAGAATGCATTGTAAGCATTTAAGAAGCAATATCCATCAAAGCATACTGATTGACTAACTTATCCCGTTGAGCAGGCCGACATTATGCAAGTTAAAAGTACCATTTAGCGTTCTATGAGAAGAAAGTTTGAACCGTGGTTGAATAGAAGTTATGGCCAGCTTTAAGCCTTTTAAAAGGTTATATAGAATTGATATACAGATTAAACGATGTCACGTCATTTATATGTTCTTTTCCATTATTAATGCGCGTACTTAATCTGTTAATCTGAATAGCGAATGTGACGATAAATATCTAACTTTGTTCATTTTTGAAAATAATTATGTTCTCATGTCTTGATACACCAATGTAAATCTCTTCTTTTTCATTACATAAATATTAAAATGTTTGAAATAGGATTACTGTCTCTGTATATTATAATGGAAATACATGATAGACGAGTGCGACCTTAAATAACAGTTTCAATTTTGTTGTTTTACTTTTAAGTACCATTATACTGAAAAGGTTTGCATAAGAAGTGAAACATCTCTGCTCTGTAAATGCGATATGTACCTAGTATATCTTTTCATGTGGAAAAATATCAAAGGGCAAAATGAACATTGCTATATGTCTGCTGTTCCTATCTTGCCCATATGGAATAACATTTTCTGTTAATTCACGCGATTGTAATAATTCTTTCAATAATTCAATCAACTTTGGGGGGTGTCATGACACGTTCTATGCTGTTTACACAGAATACGGCACTACAAAAGGTTTAATAGTTGACCGTCATGTTTATCTGGGAATTTCAAAATCCACTGTATTCATACTTATACATATTCCATACATATTTCCACACTTCGTTTGCTGTATCTTCTGAATCCATCATCCTTGCCTGTTATACGCGCTGTCCGTCTTTCAAACTTACTACGATATGTAAGTCACATACTCTTCATTTGTCATGAACGGTAGAAAGTATATTGATTTTTTCAACCTTATACAGTTACACTCTAAAAATGCACCACTTCCTTCATATAGCCACACTCAACCCATTGCGTTCATAACATGTACATATTCAAGGAACACTTATGACTTTGTCTTGAAAATGTGAAACATAATTCCTTCAATAAGGTGTTTTATAAATATAAAAGTTTATACTTACACTTACTTTTCTTCTCAGATGCCATTGGGGAGGTTGTTTGAGGAGGGGGGTAGGCGGAGGGAGCGCCGAGGCCCCCGTGCATGGAAACTGTAGGTGTATACCAAGGGTTTGGCCGAGGCCAGCCCTGACCGTTCAGAAGACCAAGTTTATCATACATGGAACTCTGGCCCATAACTTTCTGGTTCTCACTGGCCAGTGTCCGTAGGACACGATTGATTGAAGATACCTGAAATCAGAATATGCATCAAAATTAATTTATGCCAAAAAATTGTTGTCTCCATTGTCGAAACTCTAGTTTCTTTCTTATTTGGTTTACGAATATTACGGACCTATATTAATTTCTAGGTTGTTAAGCGCAGTAGCCTCTGGCACCAACATATACATCTCGTGAAAGAATATAATCTCGTGAAAGAATGTAATCTCGCGAAAGAATATACATCTCGTGAAAGAATAAAGGGAAGGTTAACATTTCTCCATCCCACCTTCCCACGTGGCTAAACATTTTTGCTTCGGTTTATGAATAGTAATTTTCTAAATTAAGTCCGTTTCGAAGATTTTAAGTCCTACTTCTTATTGCATGTAGTCAACTGAATATGTTGCAGGGTATCATTATTATTACATTTTACAGGTACGAGAGATATAAGAATATAGTCATGTGAGAGTTGAATTTATAATGTGTGTAACATCTGGTAGTAAAGTAAAATATATGTAAAATAGTACTCAGACTAGTTGTAACTATAAAGTCCGTTGCTTGTCTCTATTTCGTTCGCCCCAGCTTGGTCATTACAATATTGACATTAATAAATGTCAACAGCGAAGAACGTATTCATCACTGGTTTAAGGCAAACACCTTAATGTTTCTAAAATCATGTAGTTACTCAATTAAAATTTCAGTTATCTATTTTTCCATGAAAAGCTTCCAAAAAGCACATTTTCCAAACAACAAAAATCATCATTCATGAGAATGTTTTTGGGTTATATTGTTTTCGTATTAAAATCATGTAATAACCATTCTTGTAGAGACGAACTTATGTCTAATTCCAGTTTATACATTATCATCAGAGTCATTCCATTTTGTGCACTATTTAATAATTACAATATGAAAAATATATTGAAATTTACTGAAAACAGTTATAATATAATATATAGTCATAAATCGAAACTGTCAGGTGGTTTTTACTTTAAATGTTATTAACATTTTTATTCAAGTGAAACCGTGTCATATAGAATTGTACATCATGTACCGAACTCATTTCTGTAAGTAAAAAACACAGTGATAACAACAGAATGCAATTTTCTACCGATGATCCAAGTAACATTATTTAGCATACATTTGACCAGTTTCTAGTGTTAGTCTCTTTAAAGGATCACATAAAGTAAATTGCATTTAATAGTTTATGTGATTAAAAAACTCGTCCATGGTTGCTATTCAGATATAATGCAGCATACGCCCATGGTTACAAACAATGGTAGCGTATTATGTTTGTCATGTTAGTATCAGGAAAATACTATCCCAAACCATTTTTTACATATATCGAAATGTAAAATATAGCATGCGCGTATAGCAAAATGTACGCGAAGACGAAATAGAAATTGGGTTAAGGTTAAAAATGCATCTTGATACAATCCACAAAGTCCATTATTAGCATGAGAAAATGGAATTCACATTCGTCACCAGCAATTATATTCATCTGAGTCACTCTGATATTAGTTGATTGCTGAGACACATTTATTAAGAAAATTGAAAATTTAAGAAGACAGAAATCTTATCGACGTGTTTCACATTTGCACAAAAATGAAGAAGTCACGTTAAATAGTGACTTAGTATTTGTTGGCGATATATTAAGTAAGTATCGATACCGACAACATACAACATGATCGTCAATAATTCAAAAGGTTTACTCAGTACGAATGAGGAAGTCATATATATAAGAATTCTGTTTTCTTCCTTTACAGCTATCAATAACAATGATGGTAAAAGCAATGATCATAATAACAATGGCACGATTCGGGATTAGTATTACTGGTGATAAACAGAAGGGATAATCATAGTGTATAACAATTGTCCATCAAGATGATCCACGAAATGACGAAATTTAGTAGAGTGTTGGTTAACCATTTCAGACAAGCTGTGTGACAAGATACACAGTCACTCTGTCAGTTGTCACGTCCCGGAGATATCATTAGCCCCAGTTTCTGTCTACTATTATGACCATCATGATGGATTTATTAGTACGAAACGTATGTCCTAATGCAAACAATATCCTCTGACATCCCCTGCCAAGTAAATACTGAAATGGCATGGGGAAATTCCTGACCGCTGTTCCTCGCCCGACACTCATTCATTCAGGCTATTTTGGCAGGGGATGGTGTTAGTGTTCTCTCTTCGTGTGTCGCAACCCCAGGACATCTTGCCATATAATTTATTATGTATTAAGGAAAATATGTGTGGTTGAGGTAAGCACTTCTTGTAAGGAATAACATGAAACTTGGGACACTGACATATTTCTTACAAACATCATGGCATGGCAGAGGGTAAATATGTGTTTTTAAATATAATACTTGTTCGTGTGCATTTTGTTAATTGTGATAGTATACGGTTGAGGCAAAGTGTTTGTAATTTAGGAAATAGAACATTTGATATTGTTTCCCCAAGTAGTAAGGAGGTATAAGACTCCACAACTTTAAAGTATGACACATCTAAACATGGTATACATCAAAGCTGGAAAAAATAACAAAATGAAATATTCACGGAAAAAATGTTTAAGTTTGAGGAAAAACTATACTGCATACTTATTGTAGATAAACGAGAGTACGTAGTGGACATACAGTTAGGTATTTTGTTTTGCTTATGTATAGGCATATTTAAGACATTTGAGGTAATTATATTATTGCGCACGAGTACACATTGATGAGCTAATATCCTGACGTTATTTGATATATTTATAGTTTTGTGATTATATAAACTACTTTCGTGATTCTTAACTGTCAGTTTAATACACTATCTTTCGCAAAAACTGAAATATACATGGAATAAAGGCTTTAGTAAAACTGATCAAAACTCCAATAAAAATGATGAAACACGCCCTTTATACGACTTGAAACTGGAGACAGGCACATTTGTTATCTAATGCAAACAATCAACCCTGAACCAATCGTCTTGAAAAGAAATATTTCAAATTCTGAGACTTTTGATGGAAAATACTATTGAAAATGAATTAACGTCAAAACAGGCGAATATTTTAAAGTGAGATTTATTGGTAAGATTGGAGGGCCATCTCTCAGTCTCAAATCACATAAGAGGGTCCGTCTTGTCGCAGTTTCCGTCCGTGACTAGACCACGTTAGTGCGAGTTCTACTGCTTCAAACTCCCCCCTTCTTTTTTAATGTTTTCTACAAATTTTGCGGTTGACTAGGTTTTCCCGGTGTGGCCATGACAACAAGGAACTCTCTTGAAAAGGAGACTCGATTTTTCAGAGGAGCCAATCACGGCCTTTGTAGCAGCCTCACAGGGCTACCCAAATTAAAAGTGTCATAAAATTTTACTAATTCAACCCCCTTGGTGATTACAGGACTTTGCAGAACTGGAATTTTTAATCAGAGATAATAACACCGATTTTGTTATGTGTTTTAGTAATCAGCGACTTTTGTTTAACGACTTTGTGTCAGATATTATTCGTAATAAAACGCTTCCAGAGGTATTTAATATCTGCAAGAAATCTTCGAAAGGGCATCTTTGATAGTTTCTTTGTGTGTGTGGAAATACTACATGATCTAACCCAAAGAGGATTAATATAGTCATTACTCAAATAATTATCATACTGATAATGTTAATTTTTTTGAATATGATTAGTAGATACACTCATGAGTGTGCATCACATTTTTGTATAAGATGAAGCGGTCGTGTTCAGGAAAAACACAAATATCAATTACAAAATAAACATAACCAACAAATACAACATAGGCTACAACAATATTCTACTTCTCATATGTGCTATGTATATGTGTCAACACGCTGAGGTACATGTATTCAGGAACATTAATCCTAACCTATTTCCTTTGTTCGGATTTAATTAATCTCCATATTACTTATTCATGCATGTTCAAAGACGTGCCAATACGTATTTAGCAGTGCGTATGCAATAAAGCAGTCCCGACCACAACGCGATTCACCGTCCATGTTGTTAAACAGAGACAAGAGAAGGGAAATATGGTAAATAGTGTCTTAAACCCTTTGCAAGAAAGAAATGGTTCAGTTAACACTGAAAGTAACATGTCTCAAATAGTTTTCTTATAAACAAGTTAAAATCAGCTTGAAACTTAACACGTTGTAGACACATATAGAACATATTTGACTCTTAGTGTTCCATGTCCACTATTAGATATATAATGTAATAAATGAATATGAAATATTTTATATCATGCAAACATTTGATATGTAACATTAAGAGTCAAATATGATGTATATGTGTCAACAACATGTTATTTTTCACAGTTCTTATCTGTTCTTAAGAACATACATAACTATTTCACTTTCATGACAATGCAAAAGTTATTTACATAAACTTCGTTGGAACCATTTATAGATGTATTTATAGAATGCCAATCATACCTATATTAAGCCATGTCACTTGCATTTCAATATGCAAATAGCAAAGGACACTCCATTGGAAGGAGCTAAGACGATTCAGTGTAAATGGTTAGATACCAATTTCAGGGATTTGTATTATTTGGACTAACACAAACTGGAAAGGTCCTTCACCAGAGTAAAATCAAGAATAAGAATGTCAGTGTCAAAAGACACGGCGACTCACACAAAGATGAGCACTGCCAGAGACTATAGCTTGAGTGAGAGAAACTCGAGCGACCCTGTACCGGAGTAAAACTCAGAAAGTAGGCGGCAAAGGACATGGTTACTCAAACAAAGATGAAGGACTGTAGCAGCGGTGAAATGGGAGCATTTTCCTTCATGAATGATAAAGTATCTCGGGCTGAGAGCACCTTGCGGGAAGACGATGATAATTAAGATTTCTATTCGTATCATTGAGATGCCGCCACAAATTGATACGCGGGCTAGAGTCTCCCAGCTATTTGGTCTGTTTCCTTCAAGACGGGCTCAATCTTCTGTCTCTTCTATTGCTCCCATAGGGAGCTCGCCAATGAATTTCACTTAAGATATCTTGTCGCCAATTATGCCCCTTCTGTCATCAATTGTGTAGATTTAGT